AAATTGCCCCAAACTGCTTGGGCTTTGGAAATTGACCAAAGGCAGATAACAAATTGAGAAGTACCCATTCTTAGGAAAACTGCTGGAGCTTCAGGTAAGAATAGTGGAAGTCTACAGCATTCTTCCGTGAAACCCCCTGCAGCGGCCTCCTATCCCAGTACTTTTAGCAAGATCTAGAGTTTGGAAAACCAGCAGCTTTGCTGCCAGAGAGGCTAACTCAGTTTGGGACAGTGAGTGAAAAACTTATTTGTCAACTAAAAGTAATGAACTCGGTAGGAACCAAATAGGGAAAACCAACGTATTTGGAAGTCTCGGGCTGTGGTGCTTTTGGGATGAGTGAGGGGCCAGCCAGGATTTAACAGGCAGATCTTGGAAATGAGACGATCATAAAAGGATAAGCTCCCCACCTTTATTTTGGTTCACTGTGAAACTGCGTATGTGCCGGTGAGACCTGAGAGTATCTAGCAGAAAGCAAGGGCCAAGGCAGACTTGAAAGTTGGCTAGATCTGAATGTACTCTTCCCAACCAACACAGAGATTGTGGATTTCCACAAATACATTGTTACAGTTGTCTAGAGTATTCAGTACAGTCACATGTGGTTTGTAGCCTAGGAGCAATGGACTACACCCTATAGCCTCGGTGTGCAGTAGGCTACACCATCTAGGTGTGTGTAAGTGCACTCTGATAGTCACAGGATGCAATCACCTAATGTCACATTTCTCAGGATGTATTCTTGTCGTTAAGCGATGCATGACTGTATTTAGTTACTTTCTTAGTATTTGCCCTGAGGTTTATAATTAACATCAATCATTTGATTAACGCTGTTCCATTGGTCCTGGGCCTCTGATGGTAAGTGCCCTTGGTTAAAGATTCCTGCAGCGCTTGCCCAGGCGCACATCACTCCTGGGAGCTCAAGAGACAGTTCCCCTCAGCAGGGCCCCTATCTATGGCTGAGGCTGCTCTTTTGGTTCTTATTGTGATTGTAGGGGACACATTTCAGCAAGGAACCATCACAGAACTTTGAAGAACAAGATTTGTTACTCCTAGATCCTGGAGGGCATATGGCATGCCCAAGGGCCACACAGCCAAGTCACAAGTAGAGAGTGAGAGAGCATAGACTTGGGGCTCTGCCTTTCTTAGGGTCCAAAGGGGGGGTGTCTAGGGTTTTGCGGGTTTACTCTTTATTGGTTAATTTAAAGCATCAGAGCAGGAATTAGGGCACAGGAAGGGAGAAATGGGGTCACTCAAATGGTCAGTTATCCAGGTTACCCAGGGCTTTCTGAAAGAGGGAACTTCATGGGTGGTGGCGGCCTAGTTTCTTATCTGGTTGTTTTGCTAGTAGCTGTGTCATATAGCTGGCAACGTGTTTATTCAAGATTGATATCTTTTGAAATAGATATCTTGGCACTCAAAAGCTTAATGTCAGACACTACAATCAAAAAAGCTTAATGTCAGGCACTTAACATTACAAATACCAATTTAGTGTCAATGATATTAAAACTTTATTTCTATATTTATGTTATTGTCACAAATTACACCTGTTTATATTTTGTGCCCATTAACATAAATTTATCATTATTATTTTATGTATTTTATGAAAATAATAATTATTTTCAATCATGTAGAAAAAAGGAGTACAAGCCAAAAATACATTAATAGTGAATTTTATATTTGCCTATATAAATACATACCTTTTTTGGTATTCTTTATTTCTTCACATGGTTTCAAGCTACTAGCTAGTGCTCTTTTATTTCAGCATGAAGAACTTCCTTTAGCATTTCTTATAGGCAAATAAGAAATCTATGAGTGACAAACTCCTTTAGTTTTTGTTTATCTGGAAGTATTGTAATTTCTCCTTCATTTTTGAAGGATAGTTTTGCCAGATACAGAATTCCTGGTTGACAGTTTTTCTTTCAGTGTTTCAAATATGTTTTCCCATTGCCTGCTGGCCTACATGTTTTCTGATGAGAAATCAGTTGTTAATCCTATTGAGGATCCTGTGTACATGATGAGTTGCTTTTCTCTTACTGCTTTCAGGGTTCTCTCTTTGTCTTTGTTTTCCGACAGTTTGGTTATAATGTGTCCTAATGTAGATCTTTTTGAGTTAATTCTATTGAGATTCATTGAGCTTTACGAATGTATAGATTCATCAGATTTGCCAGGGATCAGCAATGTTACATTTAGACTGAAATTTCTATCTTACCTTCCTTTGCCTGTGATTCCAATGTTAGTTCAGTTTCAAAGACTTTGCTGTGCTATTTATACATGTGCAGCTTTGTGGTTAACTCAGATTTTCTTGTTTCTCATATACAGAATTAAGGGTGCTTTTTCCAGATCTCTTCTGTGATCCTTTATACCAGCGGTTCTCAACCTTCCTAATGCCGCAACCCCTTAATACAGTTCATGTTGTGGTGACCCCCAACCATAAAATTATTTTCGTTGATACTCTATAACTGTAATTTTTCTACTGTTATGAATCGTAACGTAAATACCTTTTTATTTTCCAATGGTCTTAGACAACACCTGTGAAAGGGTCATTTGACCCCCAAAGGGGTCGTGACCCACAGGTTGAGAACCATTGCTTTATACTCTTTGACCTAGAACTCCCTTTTTCCGGTTCTCTGGCTAGAAAGATGGAGTTTCTCTCAGAGGTATAGCCTGTGCTATATACCTGTGCTGCTGTGTAGTTTTCAGAACTTGGGTTGTTTTCATGATGAAGTAGTAAGAAAAAGGTTATGGAGGTTCCTTGCACACTCTGGTCCATGGTGTCCCCTTTCCTGGTTCTTTTGGTAAAAAAGATGGGTTTAGGGGATTTTAGGTGGCTGCACAGCTGCCACATTGCAGCTCTGTGACTGAAGCTGCATTTGGGACATGGCCAGTAGGAAAAAAAGGGAAAAGTGAAAGAAAAGAAAATCCAGAATGGGGACTCTCCTCACATTCTCTTTTTCACATATGCCCATTTCTGGTCTTCTGTCCAGAAAGGTGGTTTACTCTCTGTATTTTCGTTGGCTGTGCCTTCTGTGCTGTTCATTGCAGGGGCCATCCTCAGTTTCATGCTGGTGGATAAAAGGAGAAAAAAACAACAACACAGGAAACTCATCCGTTATTAGTCATTCTTTAAGTTTTGGCTCACCTCCCCAGTCTTGGGGTTATTAACGTTTTAGAGTCCTGAGGTAACTGCTTTTAGTATGTTGTCCAGAGGTTTTAGTTGTCATAAGTGGGAATGAGAGGCTGTAGTGGGCTTAATAACTACGTCTTATGCATGTTTTTTAACTTCTCACTCAACCCTTGGAGGAGGAACAGTAGCTGTGAAGGGAACAGCAGTTGGCAGTTGTTATCCCAAGGCTCAAGATTTAAACGTAGTAGAGATTCTAGCTTAGATTTCTACAACACTTGACTGCACAGACGTAAATCATTTTAGGTCATAGTTATGATAGGAATCACATTTACTCTGTTTCAGACACTGTTCCAAAAACTTTATATATACTCCTTTAGTCCTCATGATAACCCTATCAGGTAAACAGTGTATCATCCTTGTTTTATGGATAAGGATATTGAGATACAGAGAAGTTAGGGAATTTGCCCAAGTTACATAGATTATAAATGGTAAAGCTGTGATTCAAACCTAGGATAAAACAATTTAGTGTAGACTACCTGTTCATGTTAAAATTTTCACTTAATATTATGGAAATTTTCATATACAAACCAAAGTAGAAAATGAACTCCCTATGTATCATTCAGCTGATTTCAATATTCTGCCTTTTTTATTTTATATATCTTTTGCCAACTTTTTTTGTTTTTGGTATAGTATCTGAAAGCAAATACTAGATATCATTTCAGCCATAAACACTAAAATATGTATCTAAAATGGATAATAGCTTTTTAAAAAAAATGTAACCACGATATGAATATAATCACAATACAATTACAGCCTAAAAAGTGAGAAATAATTTCCTTTAAATCATTTAATGTCTTTTTTATGTTCAGTTTTATCTGGTTGTCTCAGAAGTATCTTGTTTGAATTGGCTCAATTCAGGATTTCAGTATGTTCCACACATTGCTTGTTGATATCTCTCTTTTTAAAAATCTGTATTGGTCCTAACCATGACCCTAATAATCTTTTTATAATTTTTACCTTTTAAAATGCTTTTAAAAATAAGTTTTAAAAAACTTTTTTGGAATAATTTTAGGAAAGTTGCAAAGGTAATGTAGAGTACCCATATATTCCTCATTCACTTTCAATTTCCCCTACATTGATTATCTGACATTACTGTGGTACATTTCCCAAGCTGTGAAGTCAGCGTTGGTAGTTTCTCTTTTAATGGCCTTTTTCTGATTCAGGATTCCATTAATTGTTCTTCCTTCTCCTCTTGTCTGTGATATTTTCTCAGCCTTTCCTTGATTTTCATGATCTTGAATTTTTTTAAAAGTTCATATCGTGTATTTTATAGGAAAGCTACATTTCTTGTATATGATACTTGTCTTGGAATTAGATTAGATTTATGCATTTCTGGAGAAAATACCATACACATAAAATGTCCTTTTTAATGATATTTTTATTTTTAAAAAATCATATAGAAAGTTCATCTGGTTCTAAGGTCAAAACTAGGTATCTTCAGAGTAGTTTCACTTTTATCCCTTTCCCCTTCCTAGTCTTTTTTCTCCCTTTCCTTAAAAATGAATATTTTTATTAGCTTTTGGTTTATCTGTTTAATTAAAAAAAAAATCGGCGAACACACACACACACACACACACACACACACACCCTCCTCCAATTCCCCTCTTCTTACACAAAAGGCAACATTAGACCATGTTCTTAACTCCCATACTATGCTCTCTTTTTAGGGACAGTTCCTAGCAGTGACTCTTCTAATAATGGCTACTTGTATTCAAGATGTTTTTCTGCTTTAAAAAATTAAGTTTTTCTAACGAATAAGATTTTTTTCCTGTGCCTTTAAAATATTTAGCATATATTATATGGCTTTTTTTTTTATTCACAGATATTTTCCAATTTATCCCTGGATGAGCGTTGCCTGTCTGCATCGTTGGTTTGCAAGTACTGGCGTGACCTTTGTTTAGATTTCCAGTTTTGGAAGCAGCTGGATCTTAGTAGTCGTCAGCAGGTATATGGAATCTAATTCTAAGACACTCAATTTGACCTATTCAAAAAAAATGTTTATTCCTCTTCAGAAATCACTTCTTTCATGTTGTTTCTCAAGATACTTCAAATGACTATAATCTATAATTCTGTGTTTAGTAATTTTTTTTGTTTGTGAATTTAAGTTAAAGCTAGGTTCTTAAAGATATTTTTTAGTGTGGATTAGTGATTTTGGGTTGTTTCTTAATTCTGTTTGTCTTATTCCTGTTTGTCTTTCCTCTTTTTCATTAACTTTAAAAAAAAATTAGACTTTCCCTTTTTAGAAGGGGTTTTATCCTGAATATTTGTTTAATAGTAGAAAATGATGGCAAACGTTTATACACTACTGCTGATGTGCCATTTACTGTCGTTCTACAGGCTTTATACATACTCATTTTATCTTCCCCACAGCCTTATTAGTTGATAATATTATCCCTATTACTATGTTGTTATTTTACTATTAATAATAGTAATCTTATGCTGTTATTATAGACAAAGAAATGGAAGTGAAAAGGGCTAAGATAACTTACTTTGTTTTAATTTTCCTTTTGATGAATTTTTTAATCCTCCCCATTTCCTGGCTGCCCAGTATGTTTATGTGGTGGCATAAATTAGAAAAAAAGATATGAATAGAATTAATAGTGCTTATTGCAAATAATTTGCAATTCTTTGTTTAAACTTGGTTGTCAATACTTGGCATCAGAAATACATAAAAATATATCCAATCAGAATAGGATTTTATTAGAGTACTAAAACTGCTCTAAGTTCTGTAATATTGTTAGTAGTGGTGTGCTGGTGAGTGTATAACAAGTGGCTTTTGAAAACAAATGAACAAATAAAAAGCCTTGGTTTGTAATATTTGCCAGTTTCTTTGGTTCAGATACTTGCACGGTGGCTAATTTCAGGCTCCCAGTTTGATGTCACTGAATGCAGTGATGTCACTGATTTGGAAAGCGATACATACTATAGGTCCTGTGAGTTGATACAAGCCAACTCCAACGTATCACTGATAGTGTGTGTATGTGTCTGTGTGTGTATAACACATACACTTTAAACAAAATGAGCAAATTTACCTGCCTGGGTTTATGAAATTTATGTCCAGGGAGAGTGGTGAGTACTTATGTATTGCTGGTAGAGTGCAAACAAGAAATGTGAAATATGCATAACCTGTTGGCTCTTTACTTCAGTACTTTTACATTTCTGAGCTATTTGTTACAAACTCAGACTAAAAATAGCTTTTCCCCTCTGCTGGTAGTTAGGTTTGGAGATGAAAAATAAATAAAGTAAAAAAAGATGAGTATGTCAGAGTTTTAGCTTTGAAGGTAACTGCATCTGTGCTTTTCCAACAGACATAAACAAAGATAGTTTTAACCTTGGCTTTTACTCCTAGTGCCCCTGAACACTCCAGCTCTTTCCTTCTTCTGTTCTAAATTTAATCGTGTGCATTTTTTCTCACCATTATTTTCTAAACATTTTCAGTTATATAGTTGACATTAATATTATATTAGTTTCAGGTGTACAGCATAGTGGTTAGACATTTATATAACTTACAAAGTGATTTTTCTGATAAGTCCAACCCACCCTCCCCCACAGAACCATACACAGTTACTACAATATTATTGACTATATTCTTTATTCTGTACTTTACATCCCTGAATCTCACCATAATTTTTACTCAAAGGACTTGAATAATGTTAACTGGTTTTTTTTTTGTTGTTTTTTTGAAATGTGTTTATTAGGCAGGGAATAAGTAGATGTTGATTTTTAAAAAATTATTTTTAAAATTCAGATGGCTATGTGAGTTTTTCACCAGATGAATTCTAAGTTTACTTATATTTAGCTTTGAGTTTTCTGAGAAAAGCTATTTGATATGGATATTTGCATGTAGTATTTGGTATGCTGATATACAAAATGACATCAATTTTCTAAGGTATGGATTAATTACATGTGAGGTAGAAGTAGTAAAACAATTGAAATTTATATAGTGTGGTATCATCTAATATTAAGTGTAAAAAATCAAGATTCATACATCACTATTACTGATATAAACTATTTGCTGTATTAAAGGAGAACAAAGCGTTTGAAATCTCAGTACAATTTTGTGGAGAGTTTTTGGTGAGTTTGAAGGTTTAATTAAAGAAAGTTTTCCTGATAAGTATAGATTTTTAGGCTTTTAATGAAAACTAACACATACATTCTTTCTTGGTGTTTTCTGACACCACTCTGATACCAAATGTGTGGAGTTTTTTATAGTCTAACAGCAAATTCCCCTACACCAACCCGGTGCCCAACAATTCAGTTCAATTCAGATACTAACTCTTGGAGCTAGCGTAGACTTCCCAGGTTAAGGGCTCAGTCCCACAATACTGTCCCCACTTTCATATACCAGTCACAAGTCCCAGGAGCCACTTGTGCTGATTTGCTATAAATTTGGGAGTTCCCTTCACCTCCTCCTCAGGTTTGATAATTTCCTAGAATGACTCACAGAACTCAGGAAAATACTTACATTTAACTGGTTAATTGTGAAGAATATAACTCAGGACCAGCCAAATGGAAAAGATATGTAAGGGCAAGCAGGTATTGGGGGATAGAGTGTGGAGCTTCCATACCCTCTCAGGGCACATCACTCTCCCAGCCCTTTGAGGTGTTCACCAACCCAGATGCTCTTAAAATTTTGTTTTTCAAGAGCTTTTTTAACTCAGTCTCCAGCTCCACTTCTCTCACAGGAAGTCAAGGAGTGGGGCTGAAGGTTTCCACCCTCTAATCACATAGTGTTTGGTCTTTCTAGTGACTAGTCTCCATCCTGAAGCTATCCAGGAGCCCCAAGTTATTTTGTTAGTATAAACTCAGATGTGGTCAAAAGGGGCTCATTATGAATAACAAAAGACACTCCTATCACTCAGGAAATTCCAAGGATTTTGGGAGCTCTCTTCAAGGAACCAGAGACATAGACCAAATGTATTTTTTATTATACCACTGTTCTTGTTACGCTTTAATATTAAGTAGGAAGGTTTTCTTTTGATTGTGGTTTTCATGCTATAATCTAATTATGTTGTTTATTTGGGAAAATTAATAAAAAGAGAAAATTAGTTCCTACATTTAGCAAAAGTTTAAATTTATTGCTTTTTTTTTCTCTCATAGGTCACTGATGAATTATTGGAAAAAATTGCATCAAGAAGTCAAAATATAATTGAAATCAACATTTCTGATTGTCGCAGTATGTCTGATACTGGCGTATGTGTTCTAGCATTTAAGTGTCCTGGACTTCTTAGGTATACAGCCTACAGGTGTAAACAGCTTTCTGACACCTCTATTATTGCGGTTGCCTCTCACTGCCCTTTACTTCAGAAAGTTCATGTAGGCAACCAGGACAAACTAACTGATGAAGGACTCAAACAGGTAAATTTTAGCATCTATAAAATGATTTAACTCATATTAACTCAAAATGTTTTCTTGCAGCAATACTTTCAAAGGCTGTTACGTTAAAAATAATGCTCAGGGACTAAAAGAAGTCATATTTTTTAATCTACCCATGGACATTTGTTTGGGTTAGTGATCTAGTGTGCTTTTGTTAATAATAGATAAATTAACTTGGTTGTGTTTTGTAGCAAATGCCTGAATTTCTGTGACTGGCCACTTTATTTATTCTTTTGTTACTTAAATTTTGTACCAAATTTTGCTTTAGGTAACAAGTATATATACAGTTTGGGTCAACATGAAGTTTTAAAAATTAACTTTTAATTTCCCTTTTATGTTGAGGACATGCTTACATGCTTTAAAAATGTCTATTTTAAGACATAAATGGAAGTCCAAGTTAAAGAGTATAAAGTGAAGAAAAAGGTGGTAATTATCTATATTTAGTACAATCATTGGATTAAAAATAGTATCATGTGTATTTTATGTTTGATGCACTTGCTTGGGAAGTGGTATTTAAGGTTTTTTGTCTCAGAGTGGATTATTTATTCAATGACTATTGCATGGATTCTATGTGCCAGGCCCTGAATTTGTGGATATTTTGAATATTTAGCAATGTTCTTTCTATTGTACTAGGCACTTTTTGTATTTTTACATTTAGACCTTTAAGTAACTTTGTGAAATAGTTGATATTAAACTCATTTTGTAAAGGAAGAAATTAAGACTTAGAGAGAGAGATGAATTTGCCTAATGTTTAGCAGATGGTCGAGCTGGGATTGAATCTTGGATTCTCCAAAGCCTGTATTGTCTTTTCATGTTTCCAGGCCAATAGACTGGACTCTTCTAGACTTCGAATAAAGAAGCCTGCTTCATGAGGGCAGAGGCCCTGCACACTTACCACTCTTTCTGCAGTACCCTCAGCAAACATTTGTTGAAAGAAAGAGTTAATTAATAATTCCATTCAAGAACTTTGTCAGGATTAATGTTTAAATTAAGAATTGGAATGCAGTCCAAACACTTCCCAATAAAACCATAATGTCAATAAAGTAATAGATTTAAATCTGTTATGAAGTTAGAAATAAAATGAAGATCCCTAAATTTAAAGACTACAGATGAATAACTGAAACCTCAGTATTAGAAGATATTTGCAAAGACACTATCCTGAATAGTATCGAGGGTGTCAATCCAATTTATATATTAGGAATGATACAGTTTATAAGGGAGTCTATTTTGTCTGCAAAAGCAAATCGTGCAATAATAGTCTTGTTTTAACATTTGTCCTGATTCATCTCTGCTATGTACAGGATTATTCACCAGCAAAACATTTTATGAAGTTCTCAAACCCATTAAAACAAATTAATTTTTAATGGGGAAATTATAAATTTTATGGATATAGCATGGTTTTTGTGTGATGGAAAATTTCCAGTAAATTATACTTTGCAATGAAACATTTTTAAAAGTCTACATATTAACAAATGGATTAAATGTGTTATATATTTAAATGTGATAATAACACAAATTAGGTACCAGTTGAGCAGACTGCTAAGGGTGTTTCTAGTAAGAAGATCATAGTTATGGTTGAAATAGAGAGAAACTGAAGTTCTTTAAGGAGCAAGACTTAATATGCCAGTCAAGTATTATGAATTTATCTAATACTTACAGCTTTGAGACTAATTGTGTAAATCTTCCCTAGAATGTGAGGTATTTTGAAACCCATTAATTTATGATAGATTAGATGTTTGCTTCAGATTTGCATGGTGTCTGAATTATGAATTAGTTATATATAAGGTAATAATCTGATATAAATAGTAAAACAATCTAAATCTTTCTCATCCTTAAGTAATTTTTTAAGTGACTGCTTACAGTAAGTAATAACATAGGAATCTCATTGCAATGTAGAGAGTAATGCTTTCTTATGCTTAAGACTGTGCTGTAGCAGGGTGTGCCCTATTTTAGCCTCTTTTCTGATGGAATAGTGTTATAGGAGAAAGTGGTATAGTAGAAAGAGAATGGCTTTTATATAAACATAAAATAGAAATAAAAGTTTTGTGAAGCAGTACGAAGACTTTTGTTACAGTGCACACTTATTTTCTATTCTATACTGTTAAATAAATGTTGGCCTTGACCCACTCAGTAAATTAATTTCATGATCCAGTGATGTTTGATGAGTTCTGCTATGTAGTATATTACAGTTTTCGTGAACAAAGAATTTAAGAATGTATAATAAAGTTTTAAAAGGCCTAGGATGGAACTATTCATAATTTATGAAATTTCCTGGGGTTAATTTTCTTTTTTACTCGAAAACATAGTCTTGATTGAATTGTTGATTCTACAGATCAAGTTGCAGGGTTTTTTTTTTGTTTTTTTTTTTCTTTGCTCTTCTGTTAGTAAAAAGTCACAAATGTTTTAGGATGGTATACATGCATTTTATTGACAATGTCTTCAAAATGTATTTTCGTCGTAACTACTATAATTTTTATTGACTTTAGCAAATACCATGTGAATGTGTTTTTTGAGTTTTGTTTATAAAAGCAGTTACATAAAGCATTTTAATTTGGAGTTCTAATGGATCTAAAATTTAATATTTTAGTAATTGCATTCTACGTAATAATGTTTGTCAAACTTACGTTGAAACACCTAAAAGTCAGACTGTTTTTGGCCAGATACTTCTTATTGTAAAATACCACCTTGAAATCTTGACATTTTTATTTCTATAAAGACAACTCCAAATAATTGTACCAGTGGAACATATTTCTATTACATACATCTCATAAAGCTACAATCTTGTATTATGGGGAAAAAAGAGCTAGTTAATTAAGAATAATAGGCTATTTTAGTTTTTCTAGTATCACCATCTATCCCTTGCTGGCAAATGAGATAGTAATAGCCAGAGTAGTCAAAGAAATCTAAGAAATTGTATCCTTTAAGTTAATATTTTATGTGATTCTTTGTATTTTGTTGTAGCAGTTTAATACCTCCGTCCAATTCATGCATTTCTGTAGAAATTTCTGGAAATAGTCACTATAAGCATCTTCTCAAATTAAAATGGTACAAAAATAAATGTATTAGTAAATTTCAGTCTTGCTATATTTTGAGTTTTCAGATCTTTGAAAGTTAATATCCTGATTCCCTCAAAATTAGACATAGCTGGAAAATAAGCCCTCGCATGGTTTTAGGTGCCAAAATATGGCACCTTGGCATACTGAATATTTTAAGCTGAAGGAGTTTGTGGAAAAGGCACCCTTATCCCTGAAACAGGTCATAAAACCCTCATGTGAGGGGTGTGTGCCCTCTATATCTTGGAGGAATCATGCTACAGCGTATTCTCCAGCTAGGTCTTATTTTTGAGGAAACACATTATTTAGACTGACACCAGAAAAATGGCAGAGTAGGCAGCTTCAAAACCCCATTCATCCACAGAAACATTGAGAAACAAGCAAGGAACTGTTAGAACAAACTTTTCCAGAAGTCTGTAAAACAGCCAGTACTTTATAGCAACCAACCAAATGCTGAACGAATAAAAAAAACATTGAAAAGTGGTAGGAAAGCTTTGTGGCATTTTTACTTGTCAGTGCCCTGCACCCTTCCCAGTGCCCCTGCACCCTCTCCAACTTGGCAACAGGTTTGAAGACAGCAACTCTTGGATATAGCATAAACTGTGTGGAACCCAGGTCCCTGCAGGGTTCCAGAGGAAGCAGGGCAGACTTTATGTGCTAATTACTATATTTGTGTTTACTTGCATGCCTGAGAGCTTCTTGAAGGATTTATTCAAGGCGCTTAGATCTGTTTCACCTAAATCAGAACTTATTCAGGGTGAAAAAGCAGTGGAAATTGATTGAAAACATTGTAATACAAATGAAAATACCTGCAGACGCTTGGGGCAAAAGATTATAGCTGATTCATGCAACAGACCACCTAAGTCCTGAGAGGAAAAGCCAGGGAGAGAATTTATTTGGGAAATTAGGATAGTCAGAAATGTCAATGTATATGTGGGAACTTAGAAAGCCAAATGCATGCCTAGGGCACTACTCATGCTCAGGAAAGACTTGAGAAAACCTTATACTGCCTTGGAAGTGAGTTGTAAGTGGCATTGCTAAGTGTTGAAGGAGTTCAAGCACAGAACCTGTCTATAAAGACTAGGAGAAGTATTTTTGTTTTTTGTTTTGTTTTGTTGTTAAGCTCTTGGCATTCAAGAAAATATTTGTCAAAACAATGGCTGAACATGAGCTAAACCTTCAATAATCAAAGCAATCCCTGAGGAAGAGGGAGAATTTTATTTCCCAAGTTGCCATATTATAATATACTATAATATCTGGATGTCTAATTTTCAACAACAGGAAAATCACAAGGCATGCAAAGAAACAGGGAAGCATAGCCCACTCAAAGGAAAAAATTATGAGAGAAACCATTCTTGGGGAAGCCCAGATGCTGGACTTAGTAAACAAAGATTTTAAATCAGTTATCTAAAATATACTCAAAGAGCTAACGGAAGGCATGGACAAAGAACTAAAGAAATTCAGGAAAATGATGTAAGACCAAAATGAGAATATCAATAAAAAACTAGAAATTATAAAAAGGAAGTAAATAAGAATTCTGGAGTTGAAAAGTAGAATAATTTATACAAAAATTGTAATAGAGCCATTCAACATTAGATGTGAGGAGACAGAAGAGAGAATCAATGAACCTGAACATCAGACAATTGAAATTATTGAGCCTGAGAAGCAGATAGAAAAAGAATAAAGAAGGGTGACTGGTTAACTCAGTTGGTGAGAGCATGGTGCTGATAACAGCAAGGTTGTTGGTTTGATCCCAGCATGGGCTACTGTGAGCTGCACCCTCCCTAAAAGAGTCTATGCCATTGTAGCATGAAAGCAGTGTGTAACCAATGACCATGGCTGTTCCTCAATACATTTTTTTTTAAATGAAGAAAAGTGAACAGAGCCTAAGGGACCTATGTGATACAGTGAAACAGAACAATATTTACG